CCCTGCAGGGAGGTGTAGCAATAGTGCCCTCTTGTGAACATTCTGAGAACAGCAACTTAGTAAGAGAGGGACATTCTGAGGACAGCACCTTAGGAAGGGATTAGCTACAATAGTGCCCTCTTGTGGACATTCTGAGGACAGTACCCTAGTAAGGGGTTAGTTACAATACTGCCTTCTTGTGGACATTCTGAGAATGTCACCCTAGTAATGAATTCTGGAAGTCCTAAAAGAAAACCTATTAGAGAGGGCTCTCAAAGCCTTTGGCATTTACCAGGCACTGTTTTATGTAATTTTTAAAAAATATATTTTTATTGACTTCAGAGAGGAAGGGAGAGGGAGAGAGAGATAGAGACAGAATCATTGATTGGCTGCCTCCTGCACACCCCCTAGTAGGGATTGAGCATGCCACCCAGGCAGGTACCATTGACAGGAATCAAACCCAGGACCCTTCAATCCGTTGGCCGCTGCTCTATCCACTGAGCCAAACAAGCTAGAGCTGTAATTTTTAATTCATTGAAAGGAAGAAAGGAATGGAGGGGTGGAAGGAAGGAAAGAGGAAGGGAAGGGAAGGAAGAAGGAGGGGAGGGGAGGGGGGAGAGGACGGAAGGAGGAAGGAAGGTCAGACATAGGGGCTACATCAATGCTGGAGAAGGGACTGTGTTGCCTGATTGTTTCATAGCTTTTACCTCTCCAATTTTGATGACAAGATTGGTATTGGTTTTGCTTTTGTTCCCACTTAGCCCCTAACAAAAGCTATTCACGAAGAACTCAGTTAAATAACTTGCTTGGCATTCAGAGTTCGATTATGATTCCATGGACATTTGCCTGCTCCTTTGGGGTTCTTTGCAGTGTCGCTGCTGGACAACTAACTGAATGCTGTATTAAAAGTTCACTCTTTCCTCCAATAAGCTTTTCTACAAACTATGCTCCTGGCTCCTTGCCGAATGCTGATGTGTCCAATGAGCAGGCACACATCCCTGGTTATTCCACACAGTAAATGCTGTGACACAGCTCAGATTGGAGTTTCAGAACCAAGGGCTCTTCAGCCCTCCATCCTCCATCCAGTCTCCATCCTGTCCACTGATGCCACCTTCACTTCCCACAGCTTGACTTCCATCACGTCACTCCTCCGCCACTGAACCATCGGTAGCTCCCCTTGTTGCCTAACCCTGGCAGTCAAGCTTGGAGCCACCTGCTTTTCCAGCCTTGTTTATCCAGCTATTTCTCGACGCTTCTCACCATTCCAGAGCACACCCCCTGCTTTCCTGCCTTCACACCTGTGCCCAGTAGCTTCCTTCAACCTAAAGCTTCCCTGTTCACAGGCTCCCTGTCCCATGGTCAAGTCCACACGGGGTAGGACACATCTCCAGTGCCACCTTTCCCTAACGCTTTCCACCAGGAGAAGGATTCGCCCTCCTCTGAACGGCTGAGCAAGGTGTTCATACCTCCCCTGGTGCTGCTCACCCGTTACTTGAGTTCCGGTGTTGGGTTCCTATACAGTGGAGGCAGACTGCCCTGGGTTCAAATCTATGTAAAATGAAGATAGAACCATCAGCCTACAGGGTGGCTTAAGGTTTAAATGAGTCGACGTATTCAAAGTGCCTGGAGCATCTAGACTAGGTCACTTGACATATTTTGCCTCCCCTGTTGTATCCATCACACAGTAGATGCTACATAAATACTGTTCCTATTGATCCCTGGAACTGTTTCAGGGAAGTGGCATCATGCGTATGGTAAATACTACGCTAATGTATTTAATAGCCCTTTGGCTCACTACTCTGAGTGCTCATTTATCTTAAATGGACAGGCGTTTGAAAATCATTAACCCTCAGTGCCCTAAGCGGATGCCCCAGAGAGGCAGAGGCAAAACCGGCTGGAGAGCGAGCGCACAGCAATTCTCCTGGAGGGCTGCTGCCTGTGGCGGCTGCCAAGGTCACCAGGCACCCACGGGCCAGCTCCTGACACAGAGACACAGTCAGACAGACTACGTACGTCCCCACTCAGCACATGACCAGCATTTGTAGCTCAGCCTCTCTCCACAGGAATTGCACATCCTTAATTCTGTCCCAAGCACGTGGGACGGCCCACTCCAGGGTTTTATTTATGCTGGTCTTTCAGTCCAAAATGACTTTGTCCCCATTTTCACATCCCGTCCCCCTTCCATGCCTGGTCCAATGTCACGTCCTCCACCGAGCCTTCCTGGAGCTCCTCTGAACTCACAGCCCTCCCATCAGCCCTTCTTCAACAGCCTGTCTCTCCCCACTTTCACTCCAGGTCCACCTGACTCAATGCCCAGCAATAAGGACCCACACACAGCACAGGTGCAGTCAGTGTGGATGGGTCCTGGATCTGGGTGGGTGAACGAACTGCATAAAAGCTGAGTCTCTTGAGAGACCTCAGTCCCTCCACCACAGGGCGTCCAGGTCGTGTCTCCAGGGTGGAAAGTTTCCTTCTGCCAAGCCGGCATCGAGGAAGCGGCAGGACTGTCTTGCCCCTTTGCAACCACAAAAGCTCTCAATCTTGACCTACAACCCCAACTGCTTCACCACGGCCCCAGAGTGCCTCCAGCGGTCCAGCCAGGGCCACATTGGAGCAGGACACCTTATGACTCACGGGGATTGCATCTCAAGGCACACACACTTCTGTGCGTTAGGGAAGGGCTCTGTGGTGTGCCTGTGACCGGGGAATCTACACCTGGATTCCCAGCTCGGCTTTCTCTAGGCAACCACGAGCAGTTACCAAGAGCCATTCCCCCTGTGGCATTTCAACCTTTGGTTTCATAAACAGTCACTCACCCAGTCGGCGATGCTGCAGCCTAGACGGAAGCATGGTAATGCTTGTGCTCTCTGATTATTCCCGACAGGCCTGAGGACATCCCTGTCGCCCAGACCCAGGCAGCAGGCCCCTCCAACGCCACCCAATCCGTCAGGGGGCCCCTGGCCCCAGCTGAACCCTGCACGGAGAAT